GAAAGAGCCAAAAAGAGTCCTCAGAAAATATCTACTGCCTGATTGTCTGCATGACCTAGTGACAGGAAGGAAAGGGAGAAGTCTTGTTACCATATTAGCGAGAGTAGCTGTGCAGACACTTGCAGGGAAAAACTCTATTATGACATTATTTTTAAAAACAGGCTTTTCTGGCCCAGCGCAGTGGCTCATGCCTGTAATTTCAGCACTATGGGAGGCCGAGGAGGGTGGATCACAAGGTCAGGAGATCAAGACCATCCCGGCCAACATGATGAAACCCCATCTCTACTAAAATACAAAAGAATTAGCCGGGCATGGTGGTGCATGCCTGTAGTCCCAGCTACTCAGGAGGCTGAGGCAGGGGAATGGCTTGAACCTGGGCGGTAGAGGATCCTGTGAGCCGAGATCATGCCACTGCACTACAGCCTGGTGACAGAGCAAGACTCCGTCTCAGAAAAAACAAAACAGGCTTTTCTGTGCTTAATCTGTTTTGTAAATGATCTTCTCTCTGCCCCTTCCCATCTCACAAAAAAAGAAGACTTTTGTGTGTGTGTGTTAATGGTAATTCTGTTGGTAAGGCTGGGTCCTATTGCCTGGCCACAAAGGGGAACCCATTTAAGACCTCCATCCCTTGTGGTTCCATAGCATGGGGATGCATAGGAGGGCAGTCAACACACAGTCCAGGAAAGGAATCTCGTGTTCCTACTCAGCTACTGGTTCATTTGGATTAAAAAACATCATGGGAGGCCGGGCGAGGTGGCTCACACTTGTAATCCCAGCACTTTGGAAGGCAGAGGTGGGCGGATCACAAGGTCAGGAGTTTGAGACCAGCCTTGCCAATATGGTGAAATCCCATCTCTACTAAAAATATAAAAAATTAGCCAAGTGTGGTGGCGTGTGTCTGTTGTCCCAGTTACTCCAGAGGCTGAGGCAGGGGAATCACTTGATCCAGGGGAGTGGAGGTTGCAGTGAGCTGAGATCATGCCACTGCACTCCAGCCTGGGTGACAGAGTGAGGCTCTGTCTCAAAACAAACAACAACAACAATAACAAAAAACATCATGAGCAGACAGGCTGGCAAAGTTGCTGTGTTCTCTTTGGATTCAATAGCCATATAGTTTAATTTTATGTATTTACTTATGCATATTACTTCATTAGAACAGGCTTCAAAGACGGTATACTAGCATTTGTTTGTTTTTATTTGTTACATTTACAAATATTGGCTTATCAAATTTTATACTGTAGCAAGATATTAAAAATAAACCAGAAGAAAAGGAGGCCAGGGGAAATTAGCGCATAAAACGCCTGCTGTAAGGCCCTGCAGATGACCAAGGTTGGATGGGAAACTCAGCTGGGAGCTTCCTAGTGGTTAATGAGGATCCCAGACAGAGGGTCACCTTAGAGCTGATTCAGTGAGGAGAGGACCATGAAGCAAGCACCTTGATGGACTCTAACCATCTCACAGCACAGTCAACCAGTCATCAAAAACCCACCCAGAGGCCAACAACAGCCATGTGCAGACACAGTCGCCTGGGGTAGCCGGAGAGGACAGAGACATGTTCCAGCTGCCAGCTTCACTGCTGCTGTCTTCCGAGAAAGCCAGGAGTCAATGCTAGGAACTCAACAGTGCCCAGAGAACAGCAAACCGGGCCTGGGTCTTAAAAAGCCCTTGTCCAACTTTATAAAGTCTAAATGAGTTTTGGTTTTATCCTAAAATGTTGGTAAAATTCCTTAGCCCTCGCATGCAAGGCCACCACAAGGCAGTACCAGCGGACGTCTATAGCCTTGGTTCCATTTCATCACCGTCATTTCACCGTTCCATTTCACCACCGTGATCCTCCATATCACTGTCATTCCAGTTGAACACTGGCCTTAGGCTCCCCGTGCCTGCTCTGTGGCATGTCTTTGCACAACTCTTTCCTTTAACCTACTATCACCTCGAGAATGATTTCCTTTCACCCACAATAATCTCCAGATGGGGTCCTCTGGGGCCCAAGGGAAGCCCTACCTAGAAGAGAATGTTAGGGCATTCACAAGGATCTCTTTCACTGATAAGAAAACCAAAGCCCTTTGTGAGGTAGCTAATTAGTTTCTCTTCTATTTCTGTTTTCTCTTCCAGGAGGACAGCACCTTGTACTCTCACCTCCTGCAGTTAAGTGTGGCCATGTGACTGAATTCTGGCCAATAGAATGTGAAAGAAAAGAAAGAAGACGATTCACCTCCCCAAGAAGGTGAATCCGCACTGCTGTGTCCCTTCTGTCAACTTGAATGAAAAAAATGGGAATGGAAACCACTTGTTGAAGACGGGAGGGCTAAAAGATGGAAAGAGACTGGAGCCCTGAGTCACTACCTGGAGGAAAACCACCCAACCATCAGGAATTTTGATTACACATTTGGGAGTTTTTGGGTTACAGCAGCTACTTTAACTAAAATACCCCAAGACAAGAGCTATTATTACACAAATTGGTTAAGTTACCTTCTTGTATGTTTGGATCCTCTCTCTTCGATTAGACTGCAGGTTCCTTTGAAACACATCTATTTAAAATTCTCATATCCCCAGAAAACCTAGCAAAGAGTGTGCACAGAGTGAGCCTTCGGTAAATGCTGAGTAAATAAACTCCTAATGAATGAAACTGGGTCTCTGAAGTTTGTTCTGAACAGCACTTAGTACAGGCTTTTGTGCTGTTGGTCACTTTTCATAAACATTCTTGCTGTTAAGGAACCTGACTCATAGAGAGCAGAATTCCAGGAGAAACAAATAGAAGAGATATGTCCAAAAGTCCGGTTAAAATTTCACTGAGAGATATTTATCCCTTTAATCCTGGAAGTTGTTGCATGTAATGGAAGGTTCAGTAGAATGAAAACAGGACTGTGAGTTAGAAAGAGACTTGGGGTCTCTTGGCCGACTCTGCCACAAATTGTGTTACCTTCAATTTCTGCATCTGTAAAATGAAGTCAGTGGTCTCCAAAATGAAAACTTCACTAATGACAAATCAGCTAGGATTTGCTTATATAGAGATAGGTTCTCCATGTGATTGTGATGCACAAATCAGATTTGGAAACCACCTGGCTATGTGATCTCATCCTATGAGTCTATCATTTTCAACATGGAAAAATAAATTTGTTTTGCTGACCGAAGGCTTTGTAACTTAGAACTGGAAAGAGACATAGAATTGAATAACCCATCTCTATGGGGTAAAAAAATGAAACACATTTAGTTAGTCCAAAGATAAAATGGAAAAATAAATATGTTTTAAAATGATTTGTTAGAGAAAATATTTTCTTTGACAGGATATTAGAGAATTTGTCAAGAGTTATTAAACAGGAGAGTCAAAGGTTTCATTGCAGGAACTTAATAAATATTTGTTTATTAGCTGATTAATGTGCTAATCCAAGCAGAGGAGGAATTCTGCCTTTGTTTTAAAGTCAGGATTTCTAATTGCCCTTTCAGGATAAAAATATTCTCCGTGTTCAGCTAAGCAACCTAAACTGACTGTTCCATTATTCAAACAAACACCAAAAAGGATTTAATGTATCCTATGGCAACCAAAGATAAAACTCCCAGGTCAGGCTTCTTTCAGGCAGATATTAATGGTTACTTTTAGTTATCAAAAAATATTGCATAATTCATGTGCTGTGCTTGACAAAGTAGATCTAAACTCTGGGGCCCTGAGGAATTTCAGGCAGAATTCCTTACTCTTTGAGAGTGTCTTCGTTCCCCACCCTGGGTGCTTATCATGCCTCTGAGTGAAACCCAAATGATAATAATGGCAGGGCTTTTCAAAAAAGCAGTGATCCAAGGTCCTTTTGAAGTGCAACAATCAGAACTATTGATTCTGAAACTGAGCAATTTCCAGCGGTACCAAAGAATTGGTATATTATAGTAATTAGAATATGTCTTCTATTCAGCACATTCCAGATCCCTCTCTATTCAAACATGCTCAACATGTATTTTTATTCAACATATTCAAAACATTCATTCTTCAAAAAGTGCTTCCCCCATTAGCCAGCCCCCTGCAAGTCAGTTGCTCCCACCTTTATTCCACTGATACGGAGGTCCTGTGAACGCTGTTTGCTTTGTTAAGATGCTGTCATTTGAACCACACACTCACATTTCATGCAAATCTGAATTATGCAAATTTTCAATAATGCTATGTAAAATAGCAATAAAATACTGCTGGAGATTGCTCAATTTCAGAATGAATAACATTTGAAATAGTGCAAATTCCTCCAAATTTGCATGATTTATCCAGAATGGCATAACAAATCCAGAGCACAGCCAGTGAAATTTACACCGTGTTTAGACCTGGGCTGGTGGCTGCACCAACATTACGGTAAACAGAAACCTCCACAGGGAAACTGCCATGGGCACTGGCCTGTGTGACGAGGAGTTGTACCGTGAAGCAGAGCAGACGTTCTCCTGAGTGATTTTTGTGACTATAGGGCTGGTTTTTTTTTAAATTAATTGAATTAATAATTTAACATCTTTTCTATCCTATGAAATATCATGTAAGCTATTATACAATAGTGGCACTGAAAATATGCTGTAAATTATACTTCATTCAGTTTCCATAGGGGAATGGTTCAAGATTCCCGGCACCTCCCATAACAAAATCTGCAGATGTTCAAGTAACTGAAACACCATGGCCTAGAATATGCATAGAACCTACTCACATCTTCCTGTACAGGTTTTTTTTTTTTTTTTTTTTTTTTTTAGACAGAATCTCGCTTTGTTGCCCAGGCTGGAGTGTGAAGTCTCAGCTCACTGCAACCTCTGCCTCCCATGTTCAAGGGATTCTCCTGCCTCAGCATCCCCGAGTAGCTGGGATTACAGGCACCCAACACCACACCCAGCTATTTTTTTTTTTTTTTTTTTTTTAAGTAGAGATGGGTTTCACCGTGTTAGCCAGACTGGTCTTGAACTTCTGAACTCAAGTGATCCACCCACCTTGGCCTTCCAAAAATGCTGGAGTTACAGGCGTGAGCCACTGCACCTGGCCCCTTCCCACATACTTAATCACCTCTAAATTAATTATAATACCTAATTCAATATAAATCCTAGGTAAATAGGTGTTATACTGTTTGGTTTAGGGAATAATGGCAAGAAAAAGTCTGTACATGTTCAGTACAGACAAAACCATCTTTTTTTTGTTTGCTTTTTAAATACCTTCCATCCAATGGTTAGTTGATTCTGAGAATGTGAAAGCCCTGGATACCGAGGGGCAACTGTAGTATGAAGGGACATTAGATGTGCTAGATGAAGAAGGCCTGTCACTGGCCGTGAGCCACAGTGCCATTAATTTAGGAGAAAGACTGCAAAATAATAAAAGAGATTGTGCTAGGACTTTTTCTGAAGCATCTTTAAAGCAAATGTGCCACGAATACAGACTTCCGCACTCTGAGAACATATTCCCTTTCTGTCTTGTGATTCTCTACAGGAAAATTAGACTTAGATTAGGCACGTTTTGGATGATGTTGTTCTTCAGGAGTAGTTACCTTTAAACTATTTTCATGTGAATATCGTGCATGTGCTTCCAAGATTGTAATCTCCTCAGAAGGAAGCAGAAACCATCTGTTGTTGTTATATCCTGAACTCCAGTTAGCTAATGACAACAATAGTGACATTGTGACGGTAGTTTCCTCTTCTCAAAGTGCTTCTGTCTCAGTTCACCCTGTGACAACATTGCAAGGTGAGTTTTCTTGGCTTCTACATTTGACAGGCCAGGACCCAGAAGCGTAGAAAGAGTCATTGATTTTTCTGGGGTAAAAACGAGCACCCATTCCCTAGAGCTGCTTCCCTTCTCTTGGACCTGAGGTTCCCCCGGGAGGGTCTTGGCTGGCAGCCCGTGGCAACCAAGCTTCTTTGTTCAGTGTGAGACACACCAGAATCGGACACAGGTCAAGGGTGTGCAAGTGTGTTTAGAGAAAGAGGGCCTTCCTTCTTACCCATCGCATAAATGAGTTTAAAGGAATCCTCAAACCACAGATGCTCTAGTGTGTTTCTAGGTCCACCCTCCACCCCCACTTGCCCTCAGTGGTATGCACACTTGTTCTGAGGTTGGGGAAGGAGACTTCAGGAGGCCCCGTGACTTGCCCTAGTTCACTCAGACAGTTGGTAGAAGAGCCAGGCCTAGAACTGGTTCTCTGCCTTCTCCCATCTTGGGACATGGCTAGCATGCCCTGGTTCCCTGGTTATCCTTCAGATGGGTGGGCCAGACTGCAGGTCGGAACTCAGATAAGGCATCTGGGGGACACATAGAGAGGCCTTTGTCAAGAGCAGTGAAGCCTGAGAAACAGAATGAAATCTTTGGACGTTGTGGCTGCAGAAAGAGGTGATGTAATCGACTTCTGCTGGAACCCAGGAAAGGAAGCTGGGAGCGGGCGATGTCATATTGTTGGGGCAGGTGGCGTCTGGCACCCAGGCCGCAGACACTGGGCCCCATTTTTGGGAACAGGCCTTCTGCCCCTGGGACAGTGTCCAGCACTAAAAAAGTCAGAAGGTCACCCCCACAGGGACTGGAGTGGTTGGCAAGAGACATAAATGGATATTCAAGTTTAAGAATTTAGGGCCGGAACCTCGTGATTATGTCAAAGACGGGGCTCAGGGGGGAGGGGCAAGGCAACAGAACAGGGTGTCAGTGTATTGGGCCAACCTCGGTAGGCCCATGGACAGGGTTGGTCCAGAGGTGAGATGGGGGTTGAGCCTGCAGATTGGAGATAGTTAAGGGGGCTGGTACAGGGACAAAGGTGAAGGCTGCTGACCAGGCAGAACTTTGCACTGCCTTTCAGCCAGTGCTCTTTTCTGTTAAATGTTTATCTATTAGAAATTCAGCACGATTAAGACTTTTCGCCCTCATACCCTATGAAAAAGGAAGGGTAAAGAGACACAAGGTTCTGACTTGCTCCTGCCAATTTGGGGAAAGCAGTTGTATTTACCCAGATTTGGCAATCCCATATTGGATAGCTCAAGCAAAGGAAAGTCACAGCCCATGGCCAAGCTCCCAGTTCTTCATAAATACCAGGAAAATGGGCTTTTAAAAAGTGTTACGTAAGTCATCCTACTGAGAAGTCAGGTAGGGAGTGCAACGTGCGATTCAGGCAGTAAGGCAGTTGCCCCTAGACTCGTGGAGGAGAGAGGGAGATGGAGGCTCGTGTTGGAGGCAGGATAGACAGGGGAGGAGCACCAGTCTGCCAGTCAGAAAACCTGGTTGACTCTGCCCTCCCACTGCTCTGGGCAATGTCCTCATCTATAACCTGGGGATTACACATCCCAGAGAGGAATAAGGAGTAAACGCAGTTGTATCTTTGCAAGTGCATTGAAAGAATTGCAGAGAATCATTCTCCTTTAATTTGCATCCACCACCCCTTTCTCTTCCTTGGCTATTCGGATATTCCTGGCTGAGCCGAGGAATGAATACCCAGCTTGATCAGGCAGGTGTGGACTGAGGCCGGTGACCAACCTCACTGTCCCTCAGGAGCTTGGTGGCTGGTCCTTCTAGCAATCACTCACCTGTGTCTAATCCCACATGGACCTTCTTAGAGAGAAGGCTAGCATTCTGCTGAGTGTCCAGGCACTGAAATGATCACGATCAAGTCATATCCAACGAACTCCTTTTTTTTCTGTAGAAAATACTATATTATAGAGTTGCACATGATCTTGCTTGTAAAAGGGAGGTGAAAAACAGACTGATTAAGAACATAGCTTGCTGATTGAATATTTCTTCAGAGTTGATTAATATCAATGTGCTAGCCAGAGGGAGATCATCAGGTCTCTGTTCTTGGCCCTGGGCAAACTGACAATGTCATGAGTAATGCAGAGAAAGCAGAGACAGCATGCCGATCGGATCTGCAAATGTGGGAAGAATGCTTACAACCAAATAACAACTACTAACTAAATAGATGATAAGCACAACCAAATAAATGCCCATAAGATACTATTAATGAATTTCCCCTCTGGAGGTAGACTAGAATCAAAGGGGAAACATATTTTTAAAATATTCATGCCTTCTAATTTAGTTTGATTTCCCTTGGAATTAAAAAAAAAGAAAAGAAAAGAAAAAAAGAGAGAAACATCACATGACCAGGATCCTTTCCCAGGGCTTCTGATTGAGTACAGGGCCAATCTATGTGAAAATCATTTTAGAAGGGGGTAAAGGCAAAACAAAACCAGGACGCAAAGTGGCAGACACTTCATGAAACTAAGTGTATAAAAATACACATGCAAAACAAAGATGGTAAGAAAATGTAAGAAACTGTTAACTGCGCTTAACTCAGGATTAGCAAACAGACTGATAATAAGTGACTTTATTTTCACTGTCTTTTCCATATAAGTCTTCTATCATCATAATGTATTGCTTTTTAATCAAGGGGGAAGCATTGATTTTTTAAAAAAAGATGTTGGAGTTGACTGACTACTTTGTGTGAGCCAACTGTATAATGTTGGCTACTAAAAATTTATCGGAATCATAGGCTGCCTGTCCATGAACATGGTAGCTACTTAAGATCACTAATCACACCATGGGCTTTGTGCTGGGCAGAACTCACTGGAGCTGTGTTTGACTCTGGGCCACGCATGGACAGGGATATCATCCCCCAGGAAATGAAGGGTCTGCAACGCATCATGAGTCAAGAGCAAGAGCCTCGTTTAGAAAAGAGGAGACAGGGGTCTATGGCAACCGTCTCTCTATACCTGAAGTACTTTACTAGAGAAGAAGGGGCAGGCATCCCCAAAAGCCATTCATCAGCAAGAACATGTTGGCCCATCCTCAGAAAGAGCCTAAAAGAATGAAATGGTGCAGCAGCGGGGAAGACTGCCTCCAAATGCATGAGGTTCACATTATGCAAAGTGTCAGTGCTTGCTCTGAAACTTTATGGATTTGGTAGAAAAAACTTCTGTGTCCTATTTATTCATAAATTTATTGAGATGTTCATTTATTCAATAAATATTTATTGAGAAAATTGTGAGTTGCAAGAAAGTTGGAGTAAGTGCCTTTCAAAAGTTCTTTCTGATCAAATCATGCTTCTGCTTAGTTCAAAGGAAGTGTTGGGGCTCTTACATTGGGTTGACTGAAGTAAAGAAAATCAAGCTTTTAGAGAATTAAAGTTAGTTTTATTCAGAAGTCTGACTCGGGACTGTGGACTGAGGACTACAGCCTGGGAGGAGTTTTTCAGAGAGCTCAGACTCCTTTCAAGCAGTGTTTTTATTCATAGTTTATGCAAAATCACATCAAACTTGTTTGGAAGTTACGGTAAAGCAGAAACACATCAGGGTTTGGATGTAAGAGTGCGTCTGATTATAGGCCACAGAGGCGTAATCATGAGCCATACCAGATGTTACCTGATGTCTAGGAAAAGGCGAAGACTAGGGTCACTTACCTTTCCTGGAATACGGTGACTCAGGCAAGAGATGTGGGAGCCACGTGCTCTATCCTGCTGTGTCTTCAAAGCATCACTCCGGAGACTGCACACCACCAGAGTCAGGGGCTTTCTGAAATTATGCTGGCCAGCAAATTGAGAAAACGCAGCTTCTTACATTTGCTACTCTGTCTCACAACTATATTTGTTCCACAAAGTTTTATTAGGTGCTAATTACCCAAGGAATAGTTACCAGCGGGCACTGTGAATTTAAGATGTACGGATTCCAAGCCTGCAAGGCTAAGTTTGGTTACAGGAAACTCTGAGCCGACCTAAGAATCCAGGCCCAATTCCAGATGGCATCATTCTGCTCGACTGATCAGGCCAGGGAGCAAGACGTCCAAGCAGGAGGTGAGCAGCCTTGAGAGAGCCACTGAGAGGGGCTAAGGCCAGGAGACGGGGCGAGGGCACCGAGAAAACAACCCGGACAAGGCCAGAAAACAGCTGACTCTTAACCTGGAGTGAGTGGAAATAGAGACAATGAAAATGCTGGGAAAACGGTCAGATTTTCTCACAGAGCGCCCCGCCCCCTCCCTGCCTTCCCACCCTCCCCATTATCTGGCCTGCACTGCAGCCTCGACCCCATATCTCCACTCTGCCACTGCAAAGACCTGATAGTTTATGCAAAATCTGGCATGTCTGGCATTGTTTGAGGCTCAGGATAGAAAGGGCATCTTGGCTGGGCGTGGCGGCTCACACCTGTAATCCCAGCACTTTGGAAGGCTGGGGTGGGTGGATCACAAGGTCGGGAGTTTGAGACCAGCCTGACCAACATGGTGAAACCCTGTCTCTACTAAAAATATAAAAATACAAAAATTAACCTCCCACCAGGGCCCACCTCCAACACTGGGGATCACATTTTAACATGAGACTTGGTGGGGCCAAACAAACCATATCCAAACCATGGCATGCTCCCTTACTCAAAGCCCATCCTCGCTGCCATCTCTCTGAGAGTGAAAGGCCGACAGCCTTCCAACGTCCTGCAAGGCCCATGGTCTGTGCACCTTGCCTCCATGCTGCACCTCCCCAGCCTCCCCTCCTGCTGCCCCCACCCCACTTGCTCCCTCTGTTCCAGCCATATTGACTGCCTTGCTGGTTCTCAGCTGCTCTGGGCATGCGCCAACCTCAGGACCTTCATGATTGCTGCTCCTCTGCCTGGAAAACACTTCCCCAGGTACCCCCATGGATTCCTACGGCTTCCTCCTCCCTCCTCTAGCTCTTTACTGCAATGCCATGTCTTTGGTCAGCTTGCCTCTCACCCCCTGGCCTAAAACTGGGTTCCCCTTCTCCCTTGGCACTCTTACCCTTCCTTCCTTGCTTTTTCTTCATAGTATTTGTTACAATCTGACTTAAGCACATGTTTAATACATGCCGATCTTCTGCAACCAGGATGTAGCTCCGTGAGGATCAGACTTTGTGGCTGCTTTACTTGCTGCTACATCTGGCTCCTAGAACAGTGCCTAACACACAGTAGGCATGCAGTCAGTCCTGCAACGAATTAGTGAGTGAATGATAGAGAACTCGGTTCAGGAGAATGTTGAAAATAAATAACAAAAACAATAGTAATAGCAATCATACTACTTTTACATTTAAGTTACCATCTGTTCAGTTCTTTAAACTCCATCTTGGTTTAGAAAGACTCCCTTGGCTGCATCTCATTATCTATCTTCTCCCTGTCAGGTGGGGGTTTTGCAGATCAGTTATGGGTTACGTTATGTTCACCCCAAAAGATGTGAAGTCCTGGTCCGCAGTAACTCAGAATGTGACCTTCTTTGGAAATGGGCTCTTTACAGAGGTCATCGGGATTAAAATGAATTCATTAGGGTGAGCTTTAATCCAGTGTCATTGAGGTCCTTATAAAAAGGGGTAATGTGGCCACAGGCAGGCCTGCATAGAGGGAGGCTGAGCTGAAGACACATGCAGCGAGGACTGCGGCCGGGAAGATGCAGGCGGAGGCTGGAACTCTGCAGCCACAGCCGAGGAATTCCTGGGGCCGCTAGAAGCTGCAAGCGGCAGAGAGCAGGCTCTCCCTCACAGCCTCGGGAGGAACCAACCCACCAGTGCCCATATCTGAGCTATCCCGTACTTCTGGCCGCCAGGAACGAGAGACAAAAACTTTCTGTTGTTTAAGTCTCCCAGTTCATGCTTTTCGGTTACAGTGGCCCTAGGAAATTAACACAGCTGGGAAGCTTCCTCTTCACCAGGTAGTCAGCCCGAACTTGGGTAGAAAAGAGAAACCCAGAGCTCCTGTTGCACTGATGTCGATGGATGGGATGTGGAGGTAAACTGAGGCACATGTGGCAGGATGTCGTGGGCCTGCTGGAGAAGGGCAGAGCAGCTGAGGATGCCTGGCAGGGCAGACCACGTTGGCCATGGCGGTGCCCTGTTGTGTCTGCAGATCACTCCACCATTGGGATCTCTTTGTTGTCACCTGCAAAGCGAGTTTTTGGAGTGGGTGCTGTTCTTTGGTTCTAGGGCATCCTAGGAGGTCTGGACATCTGCAGAAGGCAAGAGGAGAGAATATCTGATGAACAGTGACCATGAAAACATTTTCCAAATTATGATTAATTTGCAGAGCCCAATCCCACAATTCAAAAACTTTTCACGTTCCCCTTGACTGGTGTTGCCTCAAATGAGTGGGAAGATGAAGTCAGTGGCTTCAGGAGGGTCAGAGGACCTGAGTGGCAGCTACAAAATTAAGCTGTTACATCCAATTCAAAAGCAGAAGTGGAAAAAAAATCACGAAAATGAAGAGGTCCAAAAAAAGACATGTTTGATCTCTTAGAGAATAAAAGAAAATGCAGAGGGGCCCCGAATCATAGACAATTGGCGAACTTCTCGTCTGCCACTGCAGTCCCAGTGGAATTCTATGTCAGTTGCATAAACTGCTATAATTATTGGTTTGGCAAAAATATCCGGAGAGAAACTCTAGTGTCCTGTGGGAGATACGTCTCCGAAATACCCAGATTTGGAAATAATTAACTGCCTCCAATATCTATCCCCACAGTCTGCAATCACCTAAATGTTGCCACAGCCCAAATGTGAGTGCTTCCCTCCCCGCAAAGTAGGGGCTGTGGGATGTGTGGGATGGGGGGAGATGGTGCCAGCTTAACTGGGGCAAGATACAGCTATGGTATAAGCTGGAAGCAGGGACCTTTGAGGCTATCTGTGCAACTTTCTGGTCCATTCAGGAAAGCAGAATATAATCAAATGGGAGGATTTTTCATTGATTCATTCAACAAACCTGATGGGAACTTACAACTTTCCAGGTGCTAGCCACTGGACACGTAAGACGAACATTTGCTTCGCTAAACTCACTTTACTAAGTTTCTAATTTCAGATGACAAGCTGGAAATTACAATAAGAATTGTGAAGAGGCTTTGACAGACACCTCTGTGAAAGGCGAGGCTGAGGCCTGCGGTGAGGAGGAGCTGGCAGTGGGAAGATGGAGAATAAGCCCGGTCCACGCGGAGGGAACGGCAGGAGCCACGGCCCTGAGATGGGAAATTAAATGTCTGCTTCCAAAAAAGAGGGAGATACTGAGGGAAAAAAATCCACAAGTAGGACAAAGAATTAGGCATCTAGGAGGAGCCACAGACAGCAACTTGCCAATCATCATCAATTTATATTTTCTAAAGTATAGGCTGGGCATGGTGGCTCACATCTGTAATCCCTGCACTTTGGGAGGCCAAGACAGGAGGATCACTTGAGCCCAGGAGTTCCAAGACCAGCCTGTACAACATAGCAAGGCCCTCTCTCTACAAAAAAAATTAAAAATTAGCCAGGAGTGGCTAGGCATGGTGGCTGACAACTACAATCCCAGAACTTTGGGAGGCTGAGGTGGGTGGATCACCTGAGGTCAGGAGTTTGAGACCAGTATGGCCAACATGGTAAAATCCTGTCTCTACTAAAAATGCAAAAATTAGCTGGTCATGGTGGTGGGCACCTGTAGTCCCAGCTACTCTGGAGGCTGAGGCAGTAGAATCACCTGAACCCAGGAGGCAGAGGTTGCAGTGAGCCAGGATTGCACCACTGCACTCCAGCCTGGGCAACAGAGCAAGACTCTGTCTCAAAACAAAACAAAACAATTAGCCAGGAGTGGTGGTGCATGCCTGTAGCCTCAGGTACTTGGGGAACTGAGGTGGAAGGACTGCTTGAGCCTGGGAGGTCAAGGCTGCAGTAATTCATGATTGCACCACTAAACTCCAACCTGGGTGACATAGCAAGACCCCAACTCAAAAATCTAAAAAAAAAAAGTTTAGAGATGTTCATTTCTGTCCCTAAAGTCTCACAGCAAGCCAGTGGAAGAGAGGGACTAGAATGCAGAGCTCTGAACTATTTTATATCATTACCTCCTTACCCTTTCTCTCTCCTTACTACATTCATCATGTTGTACAACAGACCTCTTGAATTATTCCTTCTGTATAACTGAAATTTTATGTCGACAAAGTATTTTCCTAAATGGTTCTTCTGTTCTTAATAGATGTTCTGCTGTTGGATTAAATTTTTCCCCTGCCAGCCAGGCGCAGTGGTGAGCCACCACCTGTAATCCCAGCACTTTGGGAGGCGGAGGCAAATGGATAACTTGAGGTCGGGAGTTCGAGACCAGCCTGGTCAACATGGTGAAATCCCATCTCTCCTAAAAATGCAAAAATTAGCTGGGTGTGTGGCAGGTGCCTGTAGTCCCAGCTACTCAGGAGGCTGAGGCAGGAGAATTGCTTGAACCCGGGAGGCGGAGGTTTGCAGTGAGCCAAGATCTCACCACTGCACTCCAGCCTGGACGACAGAGACTCAGTCTCAAAAAAAGAGAAACATTTCCTTTGTCTTATAAACTATGAAGATTTTTTCAAAAGAAATAAGCTGATTTATTTTCTATTTCACCCCAACTCTCTTCATGATACCATGCCTGCCTCACACATACACCTTCTCTTAGGGAAAATGTGCTTTATACATGCAAAATGACAAACCAAGTCCTCTCTGTAACCAAGCGGAACAACTTTAGTTTAATTCTATTCTTGTGCTTCCAAAATATTGGAACCACTGTATGTTATACAAGTGAATTGCAGATTTGGAAGGAAGGTAAGAGTTCATTTTATTTTAATGCACTCATTCATTAATTTGCTCACTCATTCAACTGGCCAGTGATCTCCTGAGGAATGCAGTGCCCAGAGCCTGACTACTTCCCTGGCGACTGCACTTTCCCACACTGCTCTGATGTTCTCTGTAAGTGTCTGTACCCTCAGTGAGACCAAGAGCTCCACGGCAAGGGCATCGATCTAGCCTGAGCACCAGAGACTCCCCAGTGCTTAGCATAGTGCCCGGCAAATGAAAAGTCCTCCGTTAGTATTTGCTGAAATCCCACGAATGGCTGAATGGATGGATGAATAAGTAAAGGTTGAATATACTCAGCTCTTAATTAGAAAAGTCACCTGTGAGAAAGTAATCTGTAGAGACGCATGCCCCAGCTTTGTCTTCAAGCACTGTCAATAGGGAGTTCAGATATCATCAAATGCTCATCCACCATGAAGGACCATTGAAGGCCAGCAACACATTTTACAGTGACCATGGTCCTCCCAACATTTTCCGAATTTTATTTCCTATTGTTGCCAGTAGGTAATACATGTGCATTATTCCAAAGTCAAAGCAAGACAACAAAATGCCCTTTGGGAAGTCTCCAGCTCCTCTACTCCCCAAGCCCCACCTCCTATCCGCCCTATGTGGAATGACCATGGGGACTGGTTTGTCTGGAACAGTTCCAAACTATGTCTGTTGTCTTGTTATAAACATTAATAGTGACCCTGTCACTCTCAAAATTATTCCATTTGGGCAAAAAAATAATGTTTACCCTATCTATAGTTAACCACTTTCGCCACTTCCTTCGAGCTTTGCTTGATGCTGAATCAAGCAAAGAGGAGTATGGATTTCTGTTTTTCCCTCTGTCTTCCGTATTCAGCCCCTGGCTCCTCCTCTTAACAACAGGGACCCATTTTTGTAAAGATGATCCTCATCTTTTCTTTCTTTTTCCTTTTTCTTTTTCTCTTGCAGCTGCATGGCCCCCATTGTAATGACTATGGCTTATTGATCAGTCTGCTATTGATGGGCAATTGGTTATTTCCAATTGTTATTACAATCACTGCATCAGTGCTATTCGTTTACGTGTGTGGAGTTGTATTTATAGAAAAATACTCAGAAGCAGGATTGCTGGGTCTAATGCAAGTGTATCTGTAAGTTTGAAAGATATCGCCGAATCTCCCTTCATTGAGGTTGTGAGGTTCTGCAGTCCAAATACAAGATCTGAGAGGTCATCTTTTCCCGTAACTTTGCTCTTAAATGTCTCACAGACTGCATGATTTCATCCAAAATGTGAAACTGTATCCCAGAGGGGAACACCGTTGGCTTGTTCCTTTCTGCAAACTAGACTTGGCTCCCTAGACCTGGCAAAGACATGGTAGTACCTTGCTTATTTCAGTAAGATATAATTTGGTGATTTTTTTTTTTTTTTTGAGACGGAGTTTCGCTCTTGTTACCCAGGCTGGAGTGCAATGGCGCTATCTCGGCTCACCGCAACCTCCGTCTCCTGGGTTCAAGCAATTCTCCTGCCTCAGCCTCCCGAGTAGCTGGGACTACAGGCGTGCGCCACCAAGCCCAGCTAATTTTTGTATTTTTAGTAGAGACAGGGTTTCACCATGTTGACCAGAATGGTCTCGATCTCTCGACCTCGTGATCCACCCGCCTCGGCCTCCCAAAATGCTGGAATTATAGGCGTGAGCCACCACGCCTGGCCACAATTTGGTGATTTTTAAACAATGTTCTTTCTATCAGACACTTTCATCAACACTAAGAACTTCCAGTATTTTTCTTTTTTTTTAATGATTAAATTTTTCTATGAAACCACCTAACAATAGGATTGTTAACTGGTGGTGTTTCTTTAGTCTGATGCATAAAAAGGATTATTAAGAGCTGTGGAAGACTGTCCTGTCACTAGAGCTGTAGTAATTCTGCACGTAGCATTTGGCCCTGTCAATAGATCTGTGGTAATTCCGCACATAGCATTTGGTAAGTACTTACCTGATGTCATACTTTTCAAACTCTTCAGGCTGATGAGGTAAGTTGGGTGCATTGCCCACATCCTGCTGTGCTAAAGATGAAGCTACATCGTTTAACTCATTATTGAAGCATTTCTGGAGCTGTGGTCCATAGGCCACCTGTATCTAAGCCATCTGAAGTGCTTGTTAAAAGGGTAGGTTTCTGGACTGTATTTCAGAGCACCTCACTTTCTGTCTGCCAGTCTCTTCACATGTTATCATTCTGATCATTGCCACTGTTAGTCATAGTACTGAACGTCATGTGCAGGACACCACACCAATGATCTGTAGGAAACTCCTAGCTCTTCTCACTGATTTTTAGAGAGCATTGTTTTCCCTTTCTTCTCTCTTTCTCTCTTTTTCTGTCTCATTGTTTTTTTGGTTTTTTTTGAGACAGAGTCTAGCTCTGTCAC